TAGTTAGGCTAGGAGACAATCTCCCATTGCACTAGAAAATACTGAAATACAGTAAAACAAAAGGAAAAAGACAAGGGAAAAGAGAATTTCTTCTTAGTGCCTGTTAAAAAAATAATTTGCTGGTTAGGATAAGCTCATCCAGGTCCTAAAAACTTTCAAATTTTGCTACTTATGCAAACTTCAGGTACTGTAACATGTTACGCGCAGTTTGCGTGGTGCCCGCGTGTGGTGCTTGGGATTTGCACGCGTGTGAATTGTACGGTACTGTAGTGACAAAATTCAACCGTTAGTGGTAAAAAAGGGTTCACTGAAGAAAAGAAAGAAATTAACCATTTGCCATAAAATGGCCAAAATTTTAACCGTTAGCCGTAAAATGGCTAAAATTTAAACTGTTAGCCGTAAGAGCCATCACTCCAGGGAGACCCTCGTGTAGCTCATGCACCAAAGAGCTGTCGCAAATAATGATCTGCGTTAGAAATCATCAAAGACATGAAATGTTGGTGGTATCTTGGTATGTCAAATGTAAGTTTAAACCTAAACTTGGCGGTGTTCTGTCACTGTTCACGACAACATTGGGGCTTACTTTGTCTTCAAGAGACGTTCCTTATTTTTTCAATAATTTCTCCTAACTGAGAATATGACCTAAAGTACTGAAAAAGTTTGTGCTTTTTTTATGTCCTTCATAACAGCATTAAAGAACACCATGTATCCGATCATTAGATCAGGACTGGTGGAGTTTGATATCAATTTACCTGAGGAACTCCAGAGCTATGTCAGCTACTTATTAAATGAGCCAGACAAACTTGTCATACGCAGGCGAGGTACTTAATATGGTTAAAATAACTTAACAGTTTTTATTGGTTTTCAAACATATTTTCAGTTATTTATATTCTGTCGTTAGATACAGAGAAATGCTGGGTTTGTGTAATAGTCAAGATTTGTGATCTTGTGTTGGGTTTGTTCTTTCTCTGAAGACCTGGTATATTTATACAATAATGAAATGAACTACTCGGTCTAATGCCCGTTCTTCAAGGAAAACAAATGATTTATAACTGAAACAAACCCCGCCATGAGGGCCGTGTACGTTTGCGCGAGCAGGGGCATTAAAAGCTCCACGGCTTAAGGTACGGCCCCGCGAGAGGAAAGGAGAGAGAGAAGTGCGGCGGTAATGGAAAAAAGTCTGATTGACTGAGTAAGATCAAGCCGGACGGACATGCAATCCTACTTGGTCCATAAGTACGTACTAGAATACTGATGTTAAAGCTGCTCGTTTCGTGGTTTTTATGTCAGGTTTGAAATTAAAAAAGTGTAAAGGCGGTTTTTTATTTGCAGTAACATTTTCAAGTAAAAGATTAATAATTATTTTCTTTAATCTTTCAGTACTACAGTCGCCTAGCACCGTGAACGAATTAGGAGAAGCAATGGATGAATATGAATTGAAAGCATTCCTTACCATTCACATCAGAGAAGGTGCATGGCAAGTGGAGCTGCTGTTTATGGATGAACTTCCTTTACATAACCTACCATGGGGCTTGTATCATGAAATGTGGTACGAGGACGAGGACGAGGAAAAGATTAGTTCACCGTCATACAGTTCGACGTCAGGCATATTGTGGGCGTGGCCAACAGAGTACAACCCTGATTTGGTAACATTGTGTAAAGCGATCACCGACAGGGACTGGAAAGTAACCAGATTGATCATTTCGAAGAGTCGGATATCTGATGAAGGTTTGAAGAACTTGAGTATAGCTCTTACTCAGGATGAACTTAACAGCTTGTCTCTGTTTGACAATGGTTTACAAAGTCAAGGAATAAAACACCTGTGTGAGGCGCTGACCAGTGTGAACTGCAAGTTAACCACCTTAAACGTCTGTGAATCGGCTGGGAGACGAAGGACTGATGCACTTGTCTAAGGCGCTCACCAGTGTTAACTGCAAGTTAACCAGTTTGAACGTCAGTTGGATTCACTTTGGAATTGAAGGATTGAAACACTTGTGTGACGCACTGATCAGCACCAACTGCACATTAACCAGCTTAACCGTTGCTCACAATTGGTTAGGGGATGAAGCAATAATGCCCATATTTACAATTGTGACCAGCGGTAACTGCACATTAACCAGGTTAAACGTACGTCGTAATAGATTAGGAGATAGAGTATAAATAGAGGATATTACATGGCCACGCGGGGATACGAATTTTATCTTCGAGTGCTGAAAGTATCTCTCACGAGTGAGCGCAGCGAACGAGTGAGAGAAACAATATGTAATTAATAGATATGTAATAAACAAAATAACTTTATACACTGGAGGCCAAAGTACCAGAAAATGGAATAGAATGGAATGATGGTTTAACATATAATGCAACTGGACATTTTGCACATTGCTCTCATATTTTCAAGTCGTACATGCAAATTGCAAAAATCTGCCTTTATTAACTCTCAGGACATTGAGATAACCCTTTATCTGCTATATTTATTTATTATCAACCAATAATGCTTTTAAATGATTTAAACCATTTGCTTTTCTACTTCTTTTGTTAGATACGTCACCTGTCCTTGCTTTCCACACCACTGAATTTGAACTAAAAGAACTCAAGAAACTTCAGAAAGAAAGGATGGAAGGTGAGGGAATGCACATTTAAAGAGAAAATAATTATAGTAAAACACTTCCAGTTCTTTATCGAATTATCATTTCCACTAAACTCCTGCTATGCTCATTGGAGGCCTAAGACACCAGTTACGTTCCTCTTTTGGCACTCAGCGGTCAGCGGTTAGATGGAGACTATTCTCCCGGATGGCAGATCCTGGTAACCCAGCCACGAGCCGTTGTGTAGTAAGGAGACAACACGCCATTGAATTAGAAAATAAAAATTAGAAAAAAAAAAAAAAAGGAAAAAAGAAAGAGCAGGGACAAGTAAAATTCTTCTTAGTGTTTGTTAAAAAATAATTTTCGTCTTGGGATGAGCTAATCCTGGTCCTAGAAACTCTCAACTTCTGCTACGAGGTACTGTTACGTGTTACGCGCGTTACGTTTGCGTGGTTTGCACTTGTAGTGCTTTGGATTTGCACGCTCGTCAAGGGCATGTAATACTGCTACACACCGAATAGTACTGTAGTGAATCTTGGATACAACTCCAGCATTTTATGAAATTGGTCAGGCATTTTTAATTATTGTAACTATTTACACCCCTCTATGTGTGGAAGGCTCCGCAAGCATCATGTCTTCCTAAATTTAGTACACGGTGTTCAAATGCAGTTGGTAACTCTAATTTTGTCTGTCGAACCATATCAAACTGTTTCCCCACTGCGATGGACATTTGTTTTTGTCGGTTCCAGCCTGGCGCGGCTGCTAACCCAGATGCCCTCCTGAGCAAATTTTCAAAATGGCGGACAGGCCTAAGAGAGAGATAAGAGAACCAAAGCGATTCTGCAACGAATACTCAGCATACACCCCTGTTAAAAAGGTCATTTCACAGAGAAAAGATACAAAATTGTATGATATTGAAGTCACGGAGGTTGACAAACCCAACAAAAGACTGAAAATTCACTACATTGGCTACAGTACACGCTTCGATGAGTGGAGACCCTTCGGGGTTCTGTCCTCGTGTACCGGTTCACAAGAGCCAATACAAAAGACCAAACGATACACAATAGCTAACCGATAACTCCTAAACAAAGAAAGAACAATGGTAATTCCCTTGTGAACCGGTAC